AGTCATGCAACTTCCCAGGAATCAAAAATGGGACAAGAATAAAAACTGGCATGGCATGCACCTAGTAGCGCTCTCACCTCCCGCAACAGAAGTCTTCTCCCCACCCCTGACACAGTAAAAGCGGAAAACAGCAGAACAACATTGGGAAAGGTTGATAAGAGAGGACCAGGAGGACTCCTAAAGCTTGTTTGGGCAGGGGGAGGAGGCAGTTAACACCAAAGGCATTAAGAAGTCATTACACGCAGCCCTTGTTCCTGAAGCGTACACAAGAACTGTTAATTAAGTTTCCATTCCCTGCTCCCAGTAAAAACCACAGCCCAATGTTCGCTTCAAGGCAAGCGTGTTCAGAAAACCCACACAGACTCTGACAAGATGACTGATTATTGTGAACCCCACACTTGCACGTCTCAGAAGGCCACGAGACACACCACCCATCCACCAAAGCCAGCAGCGTGACAAAACAAATGCAAGAACCTCCTTTCCAATGTGTGTAAAGCTATACAGTGCCTCTGCTTATTTTCATTTCCTCTTTTTACTCATTGTTCTTCAGTTTCAAAGGCTTAAGATTATTTTTTCCAAGCGCTTTGCTACTCGAAGAAGGGCACGCTGTCTGGTGTTCTATTACAAAGCTATGGGCAAGATGTACTTCTGAAATTATTTTTTAGTATTTTCAAATCAAGGAGATTTCAAATGACTCAAAACGAACTGACTATATACGTCTCACCCTTTTTTGGTTTGAAAACATATTTGAAAAATCTACACGTACATCAACTCATTACCGTAAGACATCAGTTAAGGCTGAGAATTGAGCGAGAAGAGCAGAGCACATTTGTACCTGTGCTCTCGCTATAGCGAAGGGCACAACCAATGTCATTAAGTAACACATTTTATTTCCTTATAAGATATATCAATCAACAGAAGGGGCTGACTGCTACCATGAACTGGTACTAGGTGTGGCAGAGGGATGCTGTAAATGAAGGGAGCACGTAAGAAGTTAACCACTTCTAGACAAAAAAAAAAAAAAACCACATTAAAAACTCACTTTGCTGCAGGAGGCACAAAAGAAAACCATTTCGCTACAGAATGTGGCTGTTATCAAAGGGCAGGTGCCACTCTTTTGTCACGTGCTCTGCTGTCTTTTGAAATCCAGCTGATTTAGCAGTTAAGTCATCTGGCAAGGGAAAAACACTGCTGCCACACAGGAAAGAGACTCGGAGCAAAGGAACCACTGAAAGGGAAGGATGCCAGCAATATACGAAGCATCTTTAGCAATGCTTACTCATAAAAATGGGCTGGCTTTTTTTCTAGACAGTTTTGCAATACAGTGTGAATAAACTTTTTATAAACAATGGCGTCAGCAATTTCAACATCCCCTGTAAGCAGTGGCAAGTCATATACCAGAGCACTGCTTGGCTAATGAAGGATGGGAAGGTTCGAGTCAGTACGACAGTTTCGCTTCCCAAGCGTGTCAGAGAGCAAGAACAAATAGACAGAACCGCATCAGCAATTAGAAGACATTTATCTTGAGTATAATTTATACTGCTCCACAGCGCACAATCCATACTATACAATCACAAAAGCATGCCAAGCTAAAGACACAAAAACCAAAGAAATACCCAGACAGGGCACACAGTTTGTGGCAGCCAAAACTCTGCACAGGGCACGGAGCTTGACAGGACTTGGGTTAATCTATTCTTTAAGAGCAGAAAGCAGGTGGCTAATTCACGCAGCAGGGAGAGGAAGGAGGAGAAAACATGGTCAAGCAATCAGAAAACACTAATTTGGGCATCATTGTTTCGCCTGACATAGCATTAAAGGAGAGAGTTAGGACAAACAGCTTTAGAAGAAGTTCAAATAATGACATCAGAGACCCCCCAAAGCAAATGCTCACAGATTGGCAGAAATAAAAGGAAGGAACTAATTTTAGGAAAATTGCAAACATCTCTGGGTTTGTTACAGGCAAAAGGAAAGCCAGGCCACACACGACTGTAGTCTTTAAGCAGCTTTTAGACCTGGCCCTCACACTTAACCAAATTAAGGTTTTATGCTTAGCATGTAGAGGCTTGACTACACCATTGGGTAACAACCCCAAATGAAGAACTAGATTAAACACAAAGATGGCACTGACAGACTACTGTCTAAAAACAGCAGTGACATTTCTACTTCAGCACCTGTTTGTGATCAAGTGCTCAGATTTTAACCACAAAGAATAAGAATTATTTTGCTAACAGGAACATACTTTTGGCACAAGGAGACGAAGGAGTTTTTATGTCGGTGAGACGCTCTGCATCTGTCAGCTCTAAACGATACGACATTCACCTCTCCCAGCCGCAGCAGGGTGGTGCATGCAGGAGAGAAGAGCCTACCCCACTAGAAAGGGGTAAGCAGTTGTCCTCCCTCAAGCATCAGCCCATATTCAACACCCCCGTCATGAAAAAAAGGTTAGCTGACTCACTGTTAACTGCAACCCATTCATTTAAGTCTTCACCCTCTGGAAGCATAACGGCCATCCGGAGATTACCACTTCCAAGCGTGGCTTCGGCATGTTTTAGCAGCTCGTACTGATGAGACCCCTCTGGAATATTCTTCTTTGGTTTGAAGGTTTTGGAAGAGCGACTACCACTGTGAAAAGGAGAGGAAATATTTAGAGAACTTGTGGAAAGGGAAAAAGAACAGAGCAGACAAGTCGCACATAAGCACAGGAGTAACATTAAAGACTTCCCCTACTCCCATATTTTCACGTCCAAAAAGGATATTTAACAAAAATTGGGGTGCAAAAGTAACAGGTGCTTTGACTTGTTATTTTAAACAATTAAATGACTCTCCACTACCCTGCCTTCTCGTCTGCTCGCCCTACTGTTAAGCGAGCCGGACAACTGGGAACGCTCAGACTCCCTTACCCCTCTCAGCAAGACTTTCGCGGGCGAGACAAAACCAGAAATATTTCCATCCCCAGAATTTGGACAGCCGTGTATCAAGACCAGTAGCCCAGCCAAATAGAAACCTTCTTTACTCTGAAGAGTCATGAAGCTTGTCATGGTAATTAAAGATACTATTTATTTAACAGAAAAACCCATGTTCTTTTTCTAACACCCACCTTCATGAGACGTGAAATGTCATCACACCTTCACAAGGATAGTAAGAAGGCAGGGACAAGCCTGTTGAGACCCCGGCCTTCTCAAGTCAGGTATGACGGGTCAAGTAGTTACTATTAATTCCTCAAAACCAAGCCGCTGTTATTTAGGAAAGCGTATTCTCTGCAGGCCCAGCTGATTCAGAATATTATCTTAGCTACCAACATAAAATAACTTTTCCAGTATCTGGTATTGTCTAGGAGCTTAGTTTTTAAGATACAGGTGCTCAAAAATAGACAAACACTTTAGGTGAAGACTGACACAATGCCACAATTCCCACAAGCTTTCTATGCCATTTTCCCCTGGTTTCGCACCATACAGGCCTTTCAGTCCACCAGTTAGGCAAGAAATAAGGATGACAACTTTTACAACTTGTATGTAAATCATTTTCTTACCTATAACTTAATTTGAAAAACATGGACTGAGAAAAAAAACATTTAGACATTTGAATCCTAAATGATGGCAGTCAGAAAGAAACATGACGAGTAAAACTAAATATTTGCAGAAAAGTATCAAATGAGCCAATATTTGTGAGTATTTTTGTGTGAAAGCTGAGAAAAGATTTCTGTCAAAAAAGGAAAACTGAGCTCTGAATTCCAATGAAAACAAGTGGAAAGATGTGAAACCCAGACTGCAGAATTTTCATTACAAATATTATCCAGTTCGCATTTCTTTATATAAAAGACTTAATCAATTTTTCCACCATCTCTCTACAGGACTTAACAGAAATTTCTGTTAGTGGGGCCTAAGGGTGCTCCATGCTCACTAAAATAGATAAACTGCATATTTGAAGATGCAAGGGTTGTAGCTTATCTTGGGAGCAAGGCTGGTGTAGCTACACTGTCACACAGCAGCACTCCAAGAAACTCAATTCTGCATCTTCTTTTCCCCACCACGCCACGCTACAGCCATCAACAGAAAACTAATGAAGATTGCTCGTTTCTGCAACGCTGAACGCCAACAGCTCTAGCAGAGACACAACGTGCACCAAAGAACACAACAGAAGTTCTTTCCAAAGTACTTAATCGAGAACATGTCATTCACCAAGCCTATGACAAGACTGCCTAACAGCTCATGGAGTCTCACCTTAGACCTGAACAAGAGCAATAGAAGAAAACATACTGAAACTGGAGATAAATTATGAGTTGTTCTGGGCAGGTAACAACATCTCTGCAGGTGCATCTGTGGGTATTGAACAGATCCCACAAGCCCAGCTGGTTAGAGATTTACATGGTCCCGGTCCTGCTCCGACTCTCCCTAGCTACGAAGAAGCAGCAGCGTCCTCTCCCTCCCCCAGGCCTCCAAAGTTAATCCTGTTTTCCCACCCTCGCAAAGAAGCACCTGGTGGGACTAACAGGGATCAAGGGACGATGCAGTTGAACAGGCTGTGCACATTCACACAGACACCACAACAGTATTAATGCAGTCAGCTGCTAAATGTGACTAAGAGCCAGAAACATAAAGAGGAAATGTATGGCTCCCATACATTCTGTTACAGGACACTTCCAACATGCACCCCGTCATTTGCATTTCACCCTAAGCAAGGATAGCAGATTCACATCTTAAATAAAATAATTGCCTCCCACTGGGAGTGAGAAGCTTTTGCGGCTCAGGGAGTTCCCTTCACCTCCCACCCCTCCAGCCACCTGCATTTGTTGCCAAAGTTGACTTTTATACTATTTTTCAAAAAAAAAAAAAAAAAAAAGAAAACAAGCAACTGAAAAAGACACACCAACACAAAAAACCCCCAAGTCTTTCAGCTGACCAGTTAAGAGACCCAAGTTTTTTTCTTCAGGAACATAGTGACTTTATAGCCACTATGCCAACATGCCAACACAGGGGATAAAATACAACTTACAACATCTGGCAATTGGTTTGGCGCGTGGCTGCACGGACAGGGCTGACGCAAGGTAATATTCATGGCAACTGAAGAGCAAGAGAGACTGGTATCGCTATCTTGCCACACATGTCAGCATAAGCAGAATCATAGAATCATAGAATCGCTTTGGTTGGAAAAGACCTATGAGATCATCAAGTCCAACCTTTCAAGAAGAAAAGCAGCAGCACACGCTAAACACGAGTTCTTAACTTGCTCACAAGATTTTGCTCTCACTCCATCATAACTAGATGACGAGGGAAACCAACTCCTAATACTTCCATGAAAAGCAAACCAAAGGTTTCCACAGATTTAGCACCACTCCGAAGCTCAGGTCATTCATTCGTCATCAATAAGAAAGGAAAATAAGATTCAACCACCACCACCACCCCCTCCGCTTACATACATCCCCAGTGCCTAGAGCCTACGTCCTCCTTCTACCATGTTTCAAAACCAAACGTACATCAGCATCTCTTTCGCAACGCTGAACACCGAGAAACTCAACTGCTGTAACTGGTCTGGTGCGGCCACCCGAGGCAAGATCCACGAGCTCATTATAGAGACTGCTACTGGGTGCGTGGAGCTCCCCGAGCGCAACGAGGAACGCTCTGTCCAGCCAGAAGGATCGCTTCCCAAGAGGATTCAGATCACCAAAGGCAGCACCCCACTTCGGAGCTTCAGCAGAAAATCTTTGCTCAGGAAGAGCAGAAGGTATAGAACCATCCAAAGCAGGAACTGGAAAAGGGTTACGAAATAACTAAACCCAGGAATCGTATGCATTTTAGCAAAAAGGGTCAAGCAACGGAAGGGATGACAGTTCCAGAACAAGGCACAGGGAAAGCATGGTGAAGGAACTCCCTAAATTAAAGAGTCTAGTTTGAGAAAACTCCACGTAGGAATTCACACCGTATCCACCCCACACCATGAGCTTGCCAGATAACAAAGCAAGTCACGGCAGATCTGCTGAACACCCCGCAGAGACCTTCTAAGGTCAAGGAAGCAGAGAACGCACAACGCGCTGGCAAATCATGACACACCACTCAGTCCCCGCTATCCCCTTCCCATGGCAAATCATGACACACCACTCAGTCCCCGCTATCCCCTTCCCATGGCAAATCATGACACACCACTCAGTCCCTGCTATCCCCTTCCCTTCCCAGAAACAGGGGGTTTCTTCCCATAAGCTGGCAAAATCTGTAACAACAGGACACACAATGATTTGGTCTCACCAACTACTCCAAATTACCTGTTTTCTATTTGCCTCCACTACCTTTCTGATCACCGCTTCTCAAATTCAGCACAGCCATCCTAAGACAGCAGGAAATGGTCCCGCACAAAAGGCAGGCAGGCATCCAAAAGGAAACGTAATTTGGATAAATGCAGGCTGCTAGTCATCCGTGCTATGGAAGTATCTGCAATTCTGGCAATAAATTCTCAGAATTCCATGCATTTATGCAGTTCACTCTATGTGAAGCCACTGAAGATCATGCACTGTCATACACTCCTTGAAAGAAAAAAAAAGTTCAGGGACTCAACGACCCAGTACAGCTTCTCTAAGCCAAAACCCTTATTGGGCACGTTTGCTCTTGGGAAATCCAGTTGTAACCTTGCTGCAACCATTATTTCAACCACCTTATTATTTTAGAAGCTCTCCTATTATTTAACAAAAAAACATCCTCATTCATTTATGCCTTAGCACCATCAGTTAACTACCCCTTCAAATGGTTACCTTACTAAGTCATCCTGTTTCCCCACTAAACCCTGACCACAGCGGCATCTTATTCCCGCTATCCTACATTGTAATTCCGACACTGAGCTGAAGGCATCTTAAAAAACCAAACCAAATATTTTTTTTTTTCCTGGTATGTCAATCTATTACATGTGAAAAGATTTAGAAAGCCTTGTTCCGACTCTATTTCCTCAACTCGCTTGAGCCTTCAGTGAAAAAAAGCAACTTTGAAGAGTTCTGTCTGGTGGCCAACAATGCACACAATAATAGATGTCTTGATCAAGTATGACATTTTATTCTCACCTACATTCCGTAATAGAATTAGCTATATCTGTGAGTCATTTCTCCCAAGATTTAAAATGCTCCCAGCTAGTAGGCAGCACCCGCCTTTCCCTGTTACGAGTCTCTGAACTCTCCTTCCGTTTCGAAACATCGCATAAGGGGACCGAGAAACCCTCACAAATGCCACAGTGAAAAATCCCATTTTCCTTGGACACAAAAAGGTCATGGAACGGGGAACACGGTGCATCATCCCCACTATTTGTCACAACCAATTTCTTGTCTTCAAGAACTACCGACTTCTCAAAAAATTCTTGCAATTCCTCAGACTTTTTGCTCCCTTCACTCCTACATCCAACATTTCTAGCAAATTATGCCCTTCTATTTTTGTAGGTAAGTACAGCTACAGCAGTGCCAGATGCAGTTCGACCTAGCACTAAATCAGGAGATGTGTTTCAAGCAACTGACTCACCGAGCCGGGATGCATCTGGAAGCCCGGCTAGGAAGCCACACCTCCGAGCCACGAGAAGCCACCGTCAGAAGCCCACATGCCACCCAGCCTCGCAAAGACGTCACAACTTGCTCATAAGCAAGAACATAAAATTTCCTCCAAAGCTGTAATTTTATCGAGTCATCTGCTGACAGGGAGGGATTTTAATGATGCGGATTCTGCAGGCTGTTCTGTCTTTGGTTAGCAAGATGATGTTTCCAGAAGAAAGGAAAAGTTGCGGGCGTCCTGCTTACACCACACTTACCAAGCTGCCTCAACAGCCCGCTTCAGCTTCAAACGCAGCACTGGCAGATCTTTCACAATCAAAGCAGCTAAATATCCAGCCCAAACTCTTGATACGCTTCTCGATCGCTGCAGGAAAGGAGCCGCTTAAACCTTCGCACCCCGGTACTTTGGCCAGCCTGGATTAGAGCTCCTTGCTCCCAACTATTTGTGCACTGAAGTCTTTCAATGGAGCTTTTGATCTCGTTCTATGAAGTCTGCTGCATATCCAGGGAAACTTGAATTAAACAGAAAAGTTTAGACTCCCTATGCATAAAACTTAAGACTTCACAGCTTGTTCTTACCACAGAACTAACCTCGAGCTCCTACCTACTGCTGTGTCTAACACGGCTCAAACTGACAGCAAAAAAAGCTTGCCCTTAATCTCGTGTGCTTCACAATCAAACAGATGGACGCAGATCGAAGCCCAAATCCTGCCTCTACCCAAGCTGCCAACCTATCCATTTGCAGCAGCACCACAGCCTAAACCACTGAAATATTGACAGTGCTCCAAAGTCTTCCTCACATTCCTCTGGAGTGAACAGAACCAGACCAAGCTATCCCATAAATTCCCTAACAATTCATTACAGCATCTTGAACTAATGCAGTACTTACAAAGTACGTGCTTACAATGCCACTGGCAAAATGGACGATGGAGAAAAGGAGATGCCAACCTGGAAAAGAGGTGAGAATCCAAAATCCTTTTTTTCCCTGCACACCTATTTGCACATCACATACCAAACTGACATGTTTTACAAGCAATTAAGATTTTTTTTAAAAAAATATCACAAGCTTTCAACTTCCATGGAAAGCGTAGAAAACACTGCTCCTCCAACCTGTTCCAGGCTACCTGTAGTCTCAAGAACACAGTGCTGCAGTTACCGTAAGACATTTCATACAGGGCTCATCAGTGGACTGGTTTATCAAACACGGAAAGGACAGAAACTTGCCCTGGGGAAAAATAAATAGAAAATGCTACAGTGGCACTGTTTTCAGGATACACCTGCCACCTATATTCTTGTAACTGGTATGTAATGCTGGGGCCGTGGGATGTCATCTCTCTTTCTTCCCTCGGGGGAATGTGCGAGTTAACTAACCTCTGCAAGTATAGCTCTACCACTCAGTGTCTCCCAGAAGCGTTCGCCGCCGTGGTCCAACTGAAATAAGCCCCTCAAAATATTTGGAAGTGCTCGAGAGATTCTGAGAAAGCCGAACTCGAGACAGTACAAAGAACATTTACCTGGGGCATGGAAACTTTTCGTATTTCAACTCCTGCTTTTTCATCTTCAAAGGCCTTTGCAAGCATTAATTAATCCTCACAAAGTATCTTTGAAGTGGGCATCATTAGCATCTTGTTAGACACGGGGAAACTGAGGCAGCGACTCATTGCCGAAGGCCAATGAGTAAATTTATCAGAGAAGTCCCCAAGTTTTATTTCTGTACCTCCTCATCTCCTCTCTCCTGCTGTGCCTCTTTTTAAACCCCGTCAGGCAGCAACACTGTAAGGCCAGAACCATATTTCAGAAAAGCAAACACTTCAAGCCTTCAAACAATAATATGGGGCTTCAAGATCACATCCTGCTACCAGCAGACACATGAGAGCATGATCAGGTTAGTTTCCAGTAGCCAACATGTCAACATCGAAATTGAAATAAAAGCTCGAGCTACTTTTTGGAACTCAAATCCATAGTTGCAGCATTTAAACGCATTTTCCCTGTGACAATGACAGCATCAGAAGGGCAGCAGGTACAATGAAGTTCCACGTGTTCAAAATCCTCACTAACAAGATTTAACTTGAGCATTTCTATTTATAAAACCAAGTAATCGCAACATTTCTGTTCTGAAGAGAGACAGTGTACGAGCCAGGCGTTACTTTCTTCAGCTCTTACAATACCAAGAAGTCAATTTTTTTCCAGTCAAATTCCCGCTCATTAAAATAAGCCCCTCTCAGTTATTTCACATGACTCCGCCAATTCCTTACACAACATAGCCGCTCTCCCAAAAGGTAAGGCATGGTTAGGAAGCAATTCCAGGCCCAGGGTTTTTGTTTTGCTTTGTTTCTTTGGGTTTTTTTAGGGAACAATCAATTGCACTGACTTGAAAACTTGCCACAGACACGTGGTCATCCCTACAGAAACAGAATACATGTTGTTTATTGTTTATACACTCTGTTGTAGGAAACTGTAACTGAAAATACTTAGATCAATGGCACACAGCTGAAGTTTCCCAGTGTAGCTACTATGAGATATAAAATAACCTGAACTGTCTACTGCACCTAGAGTAAGTCCCTGAAATCAGAAATATTGAAGTTAAAAACGGTGAAAGTAAGGGTGCCGAAGAAGTTCTTCTCTCCAAAGCTAACACCGCACTCGGTAACCAAAGGCTTCCGCTTCGTAAGGAATTCTCCGTGGGATGAACTCACCTATTGCCTGCCCAAGCCACAGCCAGTTGCCAAGGCTACAAGAGACGGGTGCCACGCTCTGTAACCCAACGAGTCGGAGCCAAGTTACTTCTTTCCGGATTTCAGCACGCTCCTTCTGCGGCACTGTCATGAGGAAAGCCGTGTGGAGCATCTTCAGGAATAAGTACTCGATTCGGACAAAGTAATAATTAGGCTTCCAGACATTTCTGGGCAAACCCATATCCCCATCATATTCCCACAGTGGCTCCCGCTCGCTCCAAAAGGGGATCGCTTCCTACGCTAAGCTGTCCTTTCAGAGAGGCCTGACCCCCGTGGCAAGGGAGGGAGCTTGCTTTCCGCCTCCCAGCGACAGGCTCTCCCCCCCCCCGCCCGCGAGGGGGGC